GGCGGGCGCTCTGCGAGCTCCGGGGACCAGGTAGGTCGGGGACGTCGGGCTCGGCTGGGGCGCGGGGATGAGCCGCCTGCCTGGGAAACTTTACGCGCTGCTTTGGAGCTTCCTTAGCCCTGAAGTTTGTTGACTAGGAAATGCACCCGACAGACGCAGAATGGAAGATGATTTTCCCAGCCGATTTATTGCGAGGGGGTTGTTTCTCTCCCTCTGGGGTGAGGATTGGCTTCGGGGTGGTGAGGATCCGCTTCCCCGGCTTGCGTGCTGGGAGAGGCGAGGACAGGTCCCTCAGGCTTGCCCTTAGCGTGGCGGATTTGGCCAGTGAAAGTTGAAAAATAAAAAGTTACGAGGCGGGGGGTGCCGAGGAAGAGTCCCGTGTGCATGGAGCATGGGTGAGAATGCGATACTTTTCTGCCACAAGCTCTCCGGACTCCTAGGTCCAAGGGAGCCAGGCTTGAGGATTCTTCCGTTACCAGTCAAGTTTTCCAGGCTGCATTTTCTTTCCGCTCACAAGTCTGCAGCCTTGAATGGATACCTTTTCGCGGTTAATTCGCACGTTTTCTCTGATGGACTGTAGTTCAGGTTCTTGAGCTTTGATCCGAGAGTCTGCTTCTGTGCTCTCCCGGAGTCCTACAGAGCTCGCCAAGCAGGTAACAGAACAGCAGAAACGAAAAACCAGGAAGTGGCAACCGGGCACCCCGAATTACAGCACCATCAGTTTTTTTTTTTGGTTTGTGCGTGCGTGTGTGTGTGTGTATGTGTGTGTGTGTGTGTAATGACGGAACAGTTTCTGAGCTCTGTGGAAAGCTCCTCACCGCTCACCAATCCGTATGTCCTTCCCTGTGTGGCATTTCCGTATTTCCGTACTGATTTACAACCAGGAGATGCGCTCAGAGGAATGATTTAATAACAAACCTTGCAGGTTACCGTTGAGGACAGCAAACCTCCAAACCTCTGTTCAGAGCCAAAGGGAGGGGAGCAGACAGAGCTCTGGGAAGAGGTACCCCGTCCTTTAACCTTAGCTCAAGCTGTGGGGAGACAGCTCACAGAGCCAGGGAAAGCAGTGGATGGGCATGTGTGATGTGCAGGAGATCAGAAACCCTGGCAGTGATAGTGAGTAAGTAAATCCAGAAATATGCTAAATGATTAAGCAAGAATAAGTAGACTCCTCTGTGCCGTAGTTTCTGTGTTCTCCCACAGAGATGAATATCACGCTAGCTGAAAGAGAATCTTGGTCCGTAAACAGACTGAAAACAGGAATTAATCAGAACAATGAGTCAGAGCCCATCAGAGATTGAAAGGGGAAGTAATTGCCTTTGAAAGAGCTATTATATCCCAGTATCAGTTAAACGTATTACTTTTGCTTTGCTAGCTGTGTTTACCAACACTAACCTGACTTTGGCTGAAATAACCTGGCACCTAGCTTGTGGGTTTAACCCTTTGTCCATGGTGGTACTAGGGAGAAGTTGTCTGCAGGTTAATATTCACGTCCAGTTATAGAACATTTGTACCATGCCTCATATATGCAAGTCACTGTTTGCAGCAGGGCAGGGTTTTGTAGATGTTGTTCATAAAAGCCATCGGAGAGGGTTCAACCTTCCTGAATGGTGAGATGTCTGTATAAAAATACGAATGGATCCAGGCACTTGAGATACTTGCTTGAAATCAGTTGAGAGTCAACATGTGGTATGGAGACCCCCCAAAGGGGTCCATATCCTCCAGGAAGATACAGCAAATTGCCGCACACTTTTATTAGGTGAGTGCTGAGGTTCAGTGCAAGTAAGTGGCTCTTGTGTCTGAAGGTAGGATAGCTGAATCACCGAGAGGCTAATTGATTTGCTGGGTAATGGATTCAGGCAATGGACTCCTCCCGGCAGTAGCATGCAGCCCCGTGTCCTTCTCGCTGTCTGGATGTCTTTAATGTCAGCTTGAAGACTTGAAGTCATTAAGTTTATTTCTCCAGAAGAACTCTAACTTTTAAGCATCTTTCACAACACAACTGGATAGCCCAAGTGTTTCTTAAAATGGCAACAAAATATTTAATAGCATCAAAGTGCTGAGCAATTTCAAGAAGAGAGAAGATTAGCCATGGACAACAAGCTGTAGCCTTTCAGTTGCTGATTTATGTTCAATTTTATCACTGTCACATTTCATATATGCCTAGTTATTACAAACTAATAGCCTCTTCGCTCAGCTAGCAAAATATGCATCTTTTTCTAAGTGCCTAACTCCTTCTCATTCATTCAGTACACATCTAGCTTTGTTTTTACTGCATAATTTAAATGTCCAACTTGAAGTTCTCATTAACTTCTAATATGTTTTGTGCTGAAAGAGTATATAGATATAATTGCCCCTTTCAAACTACCAGATCTGTATATCACTTTATTGTGACAGTGCTACAAAACAGCTATGCGATGACTGGCTCAATGTTCTGTGCTCTCCATTTCCCATTGGGTAAATGGTTAGCACTGCAATCGTGTTGATTTTATGCGGTGGAAGATATTTATATGGCAGGAGGACTTATTGATGCTGTGCGTCTTTGGTTGCTGTCTCTGATTTAGTCATTGCTGAGTCTACCTTGAAGCTGTTTTATCTTAGCCGGTTATTTTATTTCTTTGCAGTTAAGCATCTCTCAAGTGCTTGCCCATGGTTTGTAAAGTACATATGGGCAAAGCCATGCTATTTTAATTTGCATATATAGATTATTGTCATTTAGTGCTGATGGACTATCTCCCTTCTTAGGCTCGATAATAATGCAGTAGATATTATCCTTGTTGCAAAGATGTCTAGCAATAGTAATGGATATGGGATAACAAATCCATTTTAGAAATGCTTTGAAACTGAGATGTGACAATTTTCATTCTCAGATCTAATTTGTGTAAAATTTTCATAAGCAGATCACTTGGGCTAAGTGGTTTTGGTTTGAAATCCCACCCCCACCTCTCCCATCTTCCAAGCACAGTGGAACATTGCTTTGGAAAATTTGCTGCAGTAGAAATGCACTCCCTGGTTGAAACTTTGTATGCCGAGTTTCAATCCATAGTATGTTTTTATTTTCCTGCCTTTATGTACATGTTATAAACAAGAAATAAGGGTTTGTAATAGAAGTGCTGGCAGAACTTTATAGCATTTCAAACAGCTCTGCTCCTTGGAATGTAAATATTTGTAGCATCTTTACTGTGCAAGAGGCTGCCTTGCCACGAGTGAGGGAAAATTACAATTTTATTAAGTAGGATAAGATAATTCAGACAGTATGCATATTCCTTATTGGAGACATATTGGCATTTGAAGAAATAGATTATCTATGTTACAGCGATTCCACAGCACTCTCTCAGGTGCCTTTATAACTTAGATTGTAAATTTTCTGTTTTCTAAAGCCAGAGAACAATTTTGTCCTGTTTCTGTTCTAAGTTGCTTGGTTTTGATTGCCTTTCTGATGTTGCAGCATCAGATTAGTAACTCAAAATCCACTTTGCTTATATTACTAATAAATGACCCCGCCGGTATACTATTTTAATAGTATAAAGAATTCTTGGGGCATTACAGTTCTTCAGACATGCTAAGTTTGGAGAACCAGGACAACTCAGATCTCGTGTCCTTTGATTCTACTCTGAAAGACTTCTCACATTCGCCCACCACCTTCACCCACACCCCCTATGGCAAGTCACTGTTCTCTGTGTTGGGCCCTCTGAACTGTTTTCCCTGTCTTCTTTCTCGCTTCTTTCTCCAGATTATTCTGCCCAGCTGGCCCATTTTTTTTTAAATGTAAGTTGAACGAGTATTCATCTACTAAGAATGCTTTAATGGCTTTCTGTTGCACTTAGAATAAAATCCAGACAATTAGATATTACCTACAAAGCTTTGTGGGATTTAAACACTATGTTCAACACTTCATAACGCGCTTTTGGGAACAAGAGCTTTGTAAACTTACTTTCAGTTCAGCAGTTTTGTTTAGCTCTTTCCCACTTTAGGGATAGCACGGTCCTTTGCATGGTAGCCCCTGCAGCCATCATCCCTACACACGCGCATGCGCGCGCGCACACACACACACACACACACACACACACACACACAGTTTTTGGCTGTTGCTCATGCCTTGATCACAGTTTAAATACCATTTACACAGAGGGGGCTCTTTGGCTCTTAGATTTCTTTCCTCTTCTCTATTGGACACCTCTCCTACGCTCTTTCTGTTCTTTTCCTTCATCGCACTGAAGCTCATGAGAACTAAGTTTTGGGGATACCGAGTTTGCCTCCTGGGCCCATAGCAGCCTGTGACCAAAGGGCATATCAGGAAGATCCATATTCAGAAGTTCCCCGCTGACTTTTACAGTGTTTTCATGGTACATGGTTGTGAAGTCTGAGGTCTCTGGGACATCTGCTGCTTCAACCCCACTGTATCCCATAGGTTCATCATTTCAGGCTGCTTTCAGTGTAGATGATCCTTCTTTTCCTTCACTGTCATTGTGGCTTCTGTGGTCTGTGGCTCCATCTTCTCCCTTTGTCTTTGCAACCAGTCCCCTGATTAACAACACAGAACATTCATTAAGGTTCTCATATTCCATGCCAGAGTCTAAGCATTGCACTTCCTTTAAGGTTTTTACCTAAATATGCTTGTTTAAGAATCGCCTACCTCCCTCGCTCCTTCTCTTGCTCTAGTCAGTCTGACCAAAGGTGCTATGTTAATCCATAAGCCAGAGTCCCTGGGTCAGTGGATACCCACTGTCTAGAGATAAACATGCAGCAGCTTGTCTTGTGCTTTTACGTACCTCTACCCTGAGACAACACATCCAACTGTGGGATCTTCTTTACCTTCCTTGAAAACTCATCAGGACTCTTGGCTCCAGGGTCCTTGCATGGGCCTAGACCATCCATGGCTTCCCATCTCCTCCCCTCCTTCACATGTTCACTGTGGCTTCCCCCTGCCCCATTTTCAATGTGGTTTCTGCCAGTAAAGCTCTTGCCTTCCATCAGTCCCACGGGTCTGGGTGTACCCACCCATCCATTCCTCCCAAATGCTTCACCAT